ACTGCACCCATACAAGGTATTGGGCATAGGTTTTGTTGTTGAGGGGGAGTAAAAGATATTTATAAATAAGTTGCTTAATCTCAATTCTAAAGAGAAAAAATAAGGTGTCCAGATTGTCCAGAAAAATGTGAAATTATGGTTTAAAGAGGCTGAAAGAAAACTGAGTGCTACATTAAAAGAGGAGAGAAATAAGAGGGGCAAAATATCCAACCAAGCATAGTCTAATCTTGGCCTCTACAGAGGGGAATGTCTAGATGTTTGAGGATACACCCATGATAGTAATACAGTGCTCTAGCATATGTGGAATTTCTGGATAAGAAGTGTTGCTTTAGGGGAACAATTCTCAATCAAGATGTTATTTTGGTCATAAACTATAGTTGCTAGACTTCATTTCATAGTACTCGTTGTTCAAGTTGGCTAAACACATGGGTTGAAATCACACTACTCTACGTTTTAGCTGTGTGCCCATGAGTAGGCTATTTAGGCAATCAGGACATTAGCTATATCAATTGTCATAATATTAATAATGGTGTCTACCTCAAAAGGTTATTGTGACAATTAACCAAATAAATACATGAGTAGTGCTTTGAACAGGGTCTAGCACGTAGCAGGCATTAAATAAATGTCTGCTATTTTTTTTTTTTTGTAATGGACTATGTGATCTTATTCTATAAAGCTGAGAAGCTGACCAAGGCACCAGCCCCAGCCATCCTAGTCTTCTTTGCATTTTGCAAATTTTTGAAGATCCTTCTTGCTTTAGGGTCCTTGAGTATCCTATTCTCTCTGCCAAGAACATTCTTCTTCTCTTTCTTTACCTTGCTAATTCCTTCTCAAACTTCAGGTATCTGCTATCTACTCCTCTACAGGGAGGCCTACCGGATTAGTCCTTTCACTCCTGACTCCCAGTATATCTCAGGATTATCCTGTAAATGGCATTAACCCATTATCTTTTCCTTATATCCTAATCAAAAGGTTTGGTGTGCATGTGTGTGTGTGTAAATGTGTGTGTAATCCTCCCTATGAATCCTTACCATTTTCTAAGCTCCCTGAGGGCAGACACCATGTCTATTTTGTTCATCAAACAAAGGCTTTTAGCATGTCATCATCTTTCAATACATATTTGTTAAATAAAAGAATGAATAAAAATAAATTCAAGAGAAATGGAACTGATTATGATTAGCACACTGATAATGCCAAATCCTAGAATACTTACTGTTTTTTCTTAAGACACACAATAAATATATTGAAAAAGAAGCATAAGTGAACTTCTCTTTGGTATCTCCACAACTTCTCTTTGTGGAGATACCATTATTCACAACACAGCCAGAATCCCCTCTGAGATTTTTCCAAGAGAAAAAAGAACAAAATAACCAAACATAAATCAAATTATCATAACCTCCTTATAAAATATAAATTAAACATCAGTAAATTACATCAAGTATAATGCTTACTAAGTAAAGTAACTAATCTCTTAAAATCTGTTCTTTTCTCGATTGTGGATATTTTGTAATCAGAGTATCCAGAATAAGAATTTTTTCACTAAGTGATATAAAAACAAAGTGACTTTCCTTTTAATAAATATGAGAATCACTTAAAGACCAACAGAGGGACATACTCTAAAATAGAAATAACTGGGCGCCTGGGTGGCTCAGTTGGTTAAGCGACTGCCTTCGGCTCAGGTCATGATCCTGGAGTCCCGGGATCGAGTCCCGCATCGGGCTCCCTGCTCGGCAGGAAGTCTGCTTCTCCCTCTCCCACTCCCCGTTTGTGTTCCCTCTCTCGCTGTGTCTTTCTCTGTCAAATAAATAAATAAAATCTTTAAAAAAAATTAAAATAAAAAATAAAAAATAAAATAGAAATAACTTCAGGGCTCCTGGGTGGCTCAGTCGTTAAGCGTCTGCCTTGGGCTCAGGTCATGATTCCAGGGTCCTGGGATCGAGCCCCGCATCGGGCTCCCTGCTCCGTGGGAAGCCTGCTTCTCCCTCTCCCACTCCCCCTGCTTGTGTTCCCTCTCTCGCTGTGTCTCTCTCTGTCAAATAAATAAATAAAATCTTTAAAAAACAAAAAATAAAATAAAATAAAATAAAATAAAATAAAATAAAATAAAATAAAATAAAATAAAATAAAATAAAATAGAAATAATGTCTCTTTCAAAATGTAAGCTTAGTGTATTGCTCCACAGTCGATCTTACATCTTAGTTACACAGAGTAATGATCTGAGCAGTTGTTCTCAATCATTGTTATAGATCAGAATTACCTGTGGAATTTTTTTAAAAAATGAAGATTTCCAAAGTCCAAAGCTCAGAAATACTGTTTCAAAAGGTATGAAATGTGTTTTGGGTACAAATACGTTTTTAAAAACTTTATACCTGGCTTTAATATGAAACTAAGGTTAAATACCACTTGCTTAGGGCGCCTGGGTGGCTCAGTTGGTTAAGCGACTGCCTTCAGCTCAGGTCATGATCCTGGAGTCCTGGGATCGAGTCCCGCATCGGGCTCCCTGCTCAGCGGGGGGTCTGCTTCTCCCTCTGACTCTCCCCCTCTCATGCTCTCTCTCTCTCAAATAAATAAATAAATCTTTAAAAAAAAATACCACTTGCTTATCAATAGACACAAAATTGTTCATGATTGAGAAAAATACCTGAATACTTCTTATAAAACAACCCTAAGTAATTAAGATTGAGAAATTATATGGATAGTCTTAATCACCTGCTTTGTTTGGACAAGAAGTTTGCATTAACCTTCATAGATGAAAAATATTTAAGTATAATCATTCAAAAGTTGCTTACTTCTTCTAATTTTCCATTTAATTAAATACTGTTTATTTAATTTAATTTGACAAATATTTGAGTGCTTGCTATGCATAAAGCACTTTTCTCTAACATTAAAATATCAAAAGAGTATAAAATTTGATCATTGGCCTTATATAGATTCATGTCAAATGGACATACAGATATATACATATTTTTAAGATAAAAAAAACAGTGCCTAGTAAGTGCCATAATAGGGTATTATGATACATAAAGTATACATCCCCCAACCCCACACACCCCCCAACGACATACACACAACTTAATGGAGAGATCAGACAGTTTCATGGAGTGGTTGTCATTTGACATGAGTCTGGAAGGATGAATAGGATTCTCACAGGGAAATGTAAAGAACTGAGCAAAGTTTTGGAGCCATAAGATAAGTGATGTATCTGGGAGTTTGGCTGGATCAAGGAGAACACCAAAAGAAGTGTCAACTGCTGAAGACTACAGATATCTCTTAATATAGCGCTCATTATGAGCATTGTAGAGACACATATGATGTAAAAATAGGAGACATAGTCAGAGCCTATGCCTCAAAGAAATGTTCAGTGATGTTTGGAGAAATATTGCACACATGAAATAAGCAAAGAATAGTGTAATATTAATTCTAAATAATATAAAATACTGACAAGTACAAAAATATCTCAGAAATGGAGAGAAACATATTACAGACAAAAGGAACAGGGCTAACACAATCACGGGAGTAGGTTAACTGAAAGGAAACAATAGGAAATGATGAAGGAAAGGTGGGAGAAGACAAAATTATAGAAGGTCTTGAACATCGGGGTCAAAATTTGGGTCACTTTTTAATGGTCAATAGTGATTCACTATAGACTTATAAGGAGGGTAACAGGAAAATGACAGATTATTATAATGAAGAGTGGGGTGCATTGTAGAGGGAGAAGGCTGTCAGCAGTAAGAATGGTTACATGGTTACTGCAATAGTCCTAGCAGGAGGAAATGTGGTCCAGGACATACAGGCAGAAAAGAGATGTATTAGCATCTTGTGGAAGCATTTCAACTGAAGAACAAGGCCAGTAAATTGGTGGGTATGAGAGTAACCTTTGAAAACAGAGGGAGATATAAAGAGAACTTAGGAAGTTTGGATATGATGGATAGGGAGCAAGTATTCACTGAGGTTCTCAGCAAGGGAGTGATTAAAAAAACTCATGAACTTCCATCACTGTCATTTCATGATTACCAGCTTTGCTTCATTATCAAGAGTCTTTAACCCAAGTTATTTTATTTTGACATGCCCAGAGATCTGACATCCCTCATTGTTAATAAAAGGACAAGATTATGAATTCCTCCTGGCTTGATTTGCCACCATAAATCAAATTTAGAAATTATACAAATGCTAAAAGTGTGTGGTGGTTTGTTCTGAACATTAATCTCACATTCTTATTGACTACCTGGGAAGACACAAGAACTAGCATTGATAAGCTTATTCTGTAGGTAGAAAGTACTGACTTAATAACAGAAGAGCTCCTTGATTATTCTAAAATTAAAATTCCCATTTCAAATGGCATTGTAGGAATAGGTAAATATTACTGTGTGATCTACTTAAGATATATAATTATAAAAGGTGTAAAAATACCCAGTGCATTGGTATTAAGTCTGTTACTGGTGAAAATTTTTCTGGCTTAAAAAAGTACTTGTCATATTTAATTTTATTAGAGAGATAAATAAACCAAAAGTGATTTTCCACAATGAAAACAATTGAAAGCAAGGTTGAAATATAATGATAATAGAAAAAAATCCTGAAAAATAAATGACATGCCCTCTAACATATATTTGTAGGAGATGAAAGCAGAAGTAAAGTTCACATGCAGTCCCTCACATAACTTATTTATACATCTGCAAGTCAATACATTTTTCAAATCTTAACATTGAAAATTCTTCAATGGTACCTAATTTTGCAGAAATGTAATGATTTCTAGTAATACATAAAGCTGTATTATTAATCAACATAAACAGCCCAAACATTAATATAAGTTACATCATTGAAGACTAACATAATAAAATTGTGGCTAAATTAACCTTGACTCCTCTGTTACACAGTAATTGCTAAATAACTGCAAAATACATTACATTATGTTCTTCCCTGTTCAAATTATAATGTCCTTTTTAATCCACTTCCATGTTTATCTACATTTATCTGAAAAAAATGGAAAAGCAAATACTTACCAAAATGGTGGTAACGATCAAAGAACGATTAGATAAGGAATCTGTGATGTTGGTTGGCTTTCCCTTTTGACTTTCTGTCATATTCAGGCCACTGGCTGGATCCCAAGTTCCAATCTATAAAATAGCATATGGACTTTGTAAATTGTCCATCAGGCACCTGGGAGAAAGTACTGCAAGAGAAAGTTAAGACGGCTAACACTTATTATTCACCTCTGCTGCATTATCTGCTGTCGTTAAAGTAAAGGCTGTTTGTTTTAAGCATGATTCACTGCTCTGTGAAGTGTGTCCAGTGAAGTGTGACATTAAAGAACAAAATGATCCACAGGACCTCTACAGTCAGTATGGGAGCTTAATTTTCCATTCAAACTTTCATTCACCAAGAAAAACCACATTTGATGATACCTTGATAGCTGGCTAGAAACTCATTAATAGTGCATATCTTTTGCTGTAATGGATCTACCTCATCCTCTCATTACAAAGATAACATGCCATGTTATATAGACAAAGCTAAAAGACAGAGCAAACCCTGGAGATCCAGGATAAATTAATAGGTGAAGGCAAACTTAAGAGCGGCATTGATTGGTTTTTTGCATGACCTCCGATAGGGCAAAATCATACCCAGAATTACCTTTGGAGCTTTTACAAATACACCTTTGAGCATTCAAAATACTCCAAGGAAACATTACAGCACAATCTCATCTGAGCAACCTATTCTAATACTTCTACCTGTTTGCTATTTAATATGTACTTTAATTTAACTAAAACTCTCCGATAATTAGGCCATATATTCTCAGTGTTCAAATGTTTTATACCCCCCTGAATACAGCCTATAGGATGATACCAGCACACCTCTGGGGGACATATATAAGCATAGAATGCCACTGAATGTATACGCTGGGTGGTTTATGTACTCCAGCACCATCACCCTGCCATATAATGATGGTCAGCACTGAAGAAGAACAGAGGCAAAAGAAGATTCAAGTCAGTAGTTCTTTTCTCCACCCTCTCAAACCTAGGAGTCATGGATAATAAACTTTGCTTTCCATATCCCTCTAGCCAATTACCCAATATGCTTATTCAAAGGAAAGGAAAACTATCAATTATCAGTTTATCTTTAAAATAAAGCTTCAAATATAAATTAAATAATTTTAAAGTGACATTGATTTAGCAGGTAATATTTACCCTGGTCTACCTAAACAACAAAGTTACCTATGCTAACAAAGGTCTAATCAGCGTAACCTTATCCAATTAAATATTATGATCCTTTTTATTTTTATTTTTTTTATATTTCATCACATTTACTTTTGATCCTTTTTTTTTTCATTTCCATAGTTTTCTTAGTAACCTATTAAGATGTCTATCTCCCTCTAATTGGAGAAACACAAATATAGAAACATTAGTAATTTCTGTACTTCATAAGAATAGATATGCCATTCTAATAGTTGTATGTTAAGTGCAAACCCAAGTATATTTTTTTCAAAAAATGCATTAACTAGGGGCACCTGGGTGGTTCAGTTGGTTAAGCAACTGCCTTCAGCTCAGGTCATGATCCTGGAGTCCTGGGATCGAGTCCCACATCGGGCTCCCTGCTCGGCAGGGAGTCTGCTTCTCCCTCTGACTGTCTCCCCTCTCATTCTCGCTCTCTCTCTCAAATAAATAAATGAAATCTAAAAAAAAAAAAGTGCATTAACTATATCAGGGATTCCATATAATGTTTTTTTAGTGATGTCTTAAAAAAACCTCCTGGGGTGCCTGGGTGGCTCAGTCGGTTAGGCATCTGACTTCGGTTCAGGTCATGATCTCAGGGTCCTAGGATCAAACCCTGCGGTCAAGCTCCCTGCTCAGTGCGGAGTCTGCCTCTCCTTCTCCCTCTGCTCCTCCTCCCTGCTCATGAGTGCTCTCTCTCTCTCTCTCTCAAATAAATAAAAAAAATATTTTTTAAAAAATAAAAAATAAAATAAAATAAATCTCTTACCATAATTTCTTATATTGAGTTAATTTTCCTCCTACCATTAAAAACTATATATTCCTGATGTTTGTGTCAATATAGGAAAAAGTCAGATAATACAGTGAGAAAAAAATACTGATTTCAACATTCTCTCCAAAGTAAATTATTTACTGGTCAATTAAATTTATTTACTTTAGACTATGAGGACCATGATGTCATAAAGATGGAGTCTAATTGTAATTTAGGGTCAATAATGAAAGGCCTTCGGGGCCCAGAGAGGTAACATCCATGTGTGAAGAAAAAGGGCATAAGCCAGTAGTAAGAATTTCCAGGCAAAGGTATGCAGTTTCTAAATTTTACAAAATATCAAGGCAAAATAGCAAGTAATAGCCACAATCCAGACCCTCCTCTTCTCACAGCTGTGTACCTTGGGGCTGCATGCTCCCAGAGCAGGTGATTTTTTCAAGTTCTTAATAAGGCATCACTAGAGCTAATAGAGGCCTCATTAGGAACCTGGATGGGGAAGGACAGAAAGGATATTGTAAAACCCAGAATGCCTGCTGACCTGCTTGAAGTGTTTCAAATTCAAAATCATTAAAAAAACACTCTGTTGGCTAAACAAGACACAACACATCTGCAGATCGGATTTTGCACTGGACTGCCACTTTTCTGCCCCTGGTCTATAATTAATACCTATTACACATTTGTCCCTTCAGATTTTCTTTTTTTTTTTTTTCACCATTAGCTAAATAGCTAGATTTTTTCAAATGTATAATTCTACCAGCTAAAGCATGGGCAAACATCATTTGCCCACTGTCGTCTGGCCTAATGACATCCTCAAGCTTGATCAATTAGTTTTTTAACTTTCTACCCAAATCACTAATACAAAATATTGCCAATTTCACTTACCATCATCCTCCAAGATTACTTTTATAAAGAATAACTTAGCTAGATGTCCACTCATCTAAATATATTTATCTAGTTTCATTCTCTGTCACTTGCTTTTCTAGTACTATTTGGATGGAGGGATTCTGGTTCATAGTATATGAATCAATAATTTCCTATAATCATAGATATTAAACATCCCCTTTTATAAGTCTAGGTTTCTGAACAGAATATTATAAGTTTCAGAAATTTCAGTGACATGAAATTTTAAATAAAAACATTTTGTATGATCCCTAGATTTTAAGTTTACAGGAAATGTATAATTCAAAACTTTTTAGTGATTGAGGGAATTGTCACCAGTGGGTCTTTTGATTTGTTTTGTTTTAATCACAAGAACCATAAGCTAAGTCAAGATGATCTTTTTTCTTTTAACCTATTTTCAGAACCATAATTTTCTCATTAAATGATTTAATCAAATTTTACAGTACTTTTTTCAGCTCTAAAATGGAATAAAGATATCTAAGCACTCTTGACTTCACAGAGATGTTTTAAGTAGAGTGATAACTCTCAACAAAGTGGTATAAAGGGAATGTATCTCAATATAAAAAAAGGTCATATATGACACGCTTACATGTAATGTTATACTAAATGCTGAAAAGCTAAAAGTCTTTCCTCTAGGATGAGGAACAAAACAAGGATGCCCATTCTTGTCACTTTTATTTAACACTGTATTGGAAGTCCTCATCATGGAATTAGGTAGGAAAAAAAAAATAATCTGAATTGGAAAGGAAGAAGTAAAACTCTCACTATTTGCAAATGACATGATATTATATATAGAAAATTCTAAAGACTCCACCAAAAAACTGTTAAACCAATAAACAAATTTAGTAAAGTTTCAGGATACAAAATCAATATATAAAAATGTATTATGTTTTTGTACACTAATAACAAACCACCAGAAAGAGAAATTTTTAAAAATCCCACTTACAATTGCATCAAAAAGAATAAAATAACCAGGAATAAATTTAACCACGGAGGTGAAAGATCTGTACATTGAAAATTATAAGACATAGCACAAAAACAGACACATAAATCGATGAAATAGAATAGAGAGCCCAGAAATAAACCCATGTTTATATGATCAATTAATCTATGACAAAGAAGGCAAGAATACACAATGAGGAAAAGACAGTCTCTTTAATAAATGGTGCTGGGAAAACTGGACAGCTACATGCCAAAGAATGAAACTAGACCACTTTCTAACACTATGCCCCAAAATAAACTCAAAATAGATTAAAGACCTAAATGTGAGACTTGAAACCATAAAAATCCTAGAAGAGAACACAGGCAGCAATTTCTCTGACATCAGCTGTAACAATATATTTCTAGATACCTCTCCTAAAGTAAGGGACACAAAAGAAAAAAATAAACTATTGGGACTACATCATAATAAAAAATTTTTGCATGAAAAAAATCATCAGCAAAATAAAAAATAAACCTACTGGATGGGAGAATATATTTGCAAGTGATATATCCAATAAGGGGTTAATATCTAAAATGAATAAAGAAACTTATACAACTCAACATCAAAAAACCCCCAAGCAATCCAATTTAAAAAAGAAGACATGAACAGACATTTCTCCAAAGAAGGCATACAGATGACCAACAGACACATGAAGACATGCTCAACAGCACTCATCATCAGGGAAATGAAAATCATAGCTACAATGAGATATCACCTTACACCTGTCAGAATGGCTAAAATCAAAAAAATAAGAAATAATAGGTGTTGGCAAGGATGTGGAGGAAAAGGAACTCTTGTGAACTCTTGGTAGGAATGTAAATTGGTACAGCCATGTGGAAAACAGTATGGAGGCTCCTCAAAAAATTAAAAATAGAAATACCATATGATGCAATAATTCCACTACTTGGTATTTACCCAAATAAAATGAAAACACTAATTCAAAAAGATATATGCACCCCTATGTTTATTACAGCATTATTTACAATAGCCAAAATATGGAAACAACCTAAGTATCCAAGAATAGATGAATGGATAAGGAAGTGTGATAGGTGATAGATGATAGATAATAGATAGATAGATAGACACACACATAATATTACACAGCCATAAAAAAAGATATTTTGCCATTTGCAACAACATGGATGGACCTAGAGGGTATTATGCTAAGTGAAATAAGTTAGACTGAAAAAGACAAATACCATATGATTTCACTCACATGTGGAATCTTAAAAACAAAATAAATGAATAAAGAAGCAA